TGCCCCTTGCCCAAACCAATGTCTTGAAGGCTTTCCTTTCCCAGCTCCATCCCATGCCCATCCATCCTCAGCTGCCCCACTGGGTCCACTAAGATGAACTCGTCCCTGTTGGCGAAAACGGCACCGTCCATGAATCGTTCACCCGAACAAACCATCGTTCTTTTGACAGTTTGTGCACCCAAACGCGACCCCTGGACCCTCCGTTCAGTAGGGGCCGTACCCTCATAAGGAGGGGTCCTCACTCGGACCGAAGAAAAAAACAAAAAAAACATTGGTTTTGAGGGACCGGTCGGCCTATTTGGAGCGTCTGGGTAGAAACCCCCCACCCCCCCGGATGTCCGGATCCCCGTAAACTGAGATAGTGCGGTGATTGGTGATTCCTTTGGGGTGTGGATGGATGTGGGAATAAGGCCATCTAGATGGCCTATACCCCAACAGAAGTCTTTGATCTTTTGTGTGAAGCTTATCCATGCTTATCCTATCTCCTACTAGTACACTCGGTTGCAAAGCCGTTTTGGAGCATCACTCGCAGCGAGCCGGGCTGATGGACTGCGCATGAAGCTGTTCTCATCACAGAGATGAACCTGTTTGCCATGCTTTGCGAATTGCAGCTGTAGTTCATCAGTGGCTTTCAAACTTGTCAGGACATCAATGTAGCCACTCAAAAATACACAACACCTGATTACAGTAACAACATTTTACAAATGTCTAACTGCCTGACCAATATCAAACAAACTGCTGGTTGCAAAAGCCCGATGTGTTCACCCGAAAACAGCCATGTATGTCATCGCGCTAGCCCGGGATGTATATAATGGCATCTAAGAATACATTAGGTGATCTTTAGATATATCTTTAGTAATGGATAGTACAGGCCTTTCCCAAAAAATCGTGATCATTCTGGAAATGGGACAAACCCTTCAGAATATCTTCCAACCCCCCCCATGTCGCACCACCTGGTTTCAAACCAGGTCGCTCATGCTGCGCACCCTGGAGGTCGGCCACCAAATCCTGTTGGACTGGGAGGAAGGCAAATCGCAACGGAAAGAAAAGAAAGGCAATTTGGCAATGAGTGTGCCTCTAGAATCTGTATATAGATATCTGCATTCTGCACCCCAGGAATTGAGGGCCCCACCTGCGTCTCAAAAGGAAACTGACTGACCCCAGTCTACCCAACCTGCTCAAAATGCGGAGTTCTTGGGTATATATCGGCCGTACCATCGGCCGTTTTTCGGCAATGATTTGAACCAGCTGGCCTCATGTCTGCGGTGGTTGAGATTGCTATAGTGATACTATAGTGTTCCTTTGGGCAGTACACCCAGCAATTCAACCATATTTGCAGTACAGTAGCACCTAGTAAGTCTGCTTTAATGTCATATACAATTGTGCATATGTGCACGGATTTGTTGGAGCCCCACTCAAAACTGAATCGCAACCTACATCCGCCACAACCATCCTGCCCGCACGATGATTCCAACACTCTCTCACTCTCACGCTATACTCTTCGTCATGTACAAAGCATCTCTGCTCCACCCGGATCTTCGTGGTGCATAGAACCTATTACCGTTAGAAGTGGGAACTCTTGAAGCTCCCAAATCACTTAAACTGTTTGAACTATATATCTTGAAGCCAAAAAGGGAAACGGAGGAACAATGACACATACATCCAAACATTTCACAATACATGCCTCCCTCCAACAAACATTTAAGTGGACAGCCCCGTGTTTGTAGAGGAAAATCACCCACGATCTGTTACATGAGTCGGTCATGGCAACTTAATTTATTAAGTATTCTTCCTCTCTCTCTCTCTCTGTCTTGAAACCGGTCGCTGGGCAGCCCCATCGGCCGAATCCGCTTCGTGCCCGTTTCGCCGAAGGCAGGAGCGGCGGGGGCGGGCGGCCTGGCCACCCGAGTTCCAAAGCACGAAATGGAAGAAGGAGTGCGGCAGCTCCACAAAGTCCTCGCTGCCTTGCGACGGGTCACGCATGGGTGTGACCACCCCCGGCTCCTCACACCGGATCGGGAGAGATGTCGGGAGATGTCGAACGGGTACCACCGGGTATGACATGACCGCCTGATGTGGGTGCGGAGCCTAGGAAGCCTCACCCTGGTGGTGTCGTCTAGAATGTGGTCAACTGGTCGGTCTCCCAGCTTGGACCCATGATTTGAGTCATCCAACACTCTTGAGTCATCCATGAAACACATCTACAAAGGCAAAACGGAAGGTGCGTCACTGCAATCAACGTACGGATCGTCTCAATGTGGCTTTGTCTCGATCTTTGGCTAAAAGAGATGTTGAACCACAAACGAACCACCGAAACATTCAACCCATGTTGCGGGGCCATTGCGGTCTAATGAGAAGGGCATTCCTCTCACATCGACATCAAGGTTTGCTCTTATCTCGAACTCCCAAGAGGTGGTGAGGTAGAAGAGCTCTGCTCTCTCATCACCAGGCGGGAAGTGACTGCACACATCAGGGGCTGCAAGTGACTGCCACCCAACCTGGGAAAACGTCCGTGGGCTTGTGGACACTCACTGTCCCCTTTGCCGCGCCTTCGAAGACAAATTTGGTCACTTCCTTCTCATCAAAAAGTGTCCTTAGACATCCGCTCTGGAGACTCAGAATGCAATTCTCTCCTGCAACTGTCGAACACATGGCTTGCAACAGGGCCCCCCGTATACAGCGCGCTGCAGCACTGGTACTTCCATGTGAGGTATTTTTGCCATAGACATGTTTGCTTATCGCCATGCAAACTCTTTATCGATCTTGCGGGACGTTGTCATTCTATTTTATAAAGTAGTGTGACACCATCAAGTTCTGCCATGTGTGTCGTGGTAGGCTCCAGCAACATTCTATTGCGAGGTTGATCCTGGAGCGAAGCACGATGTCCTGGACGGTTTTGTTTGAAATCGTTTTCGTAGCCGGGAGAAACGCCCCGTTTTGGACATAGGTGAACACCAACACAGGTTCAACCGCTGCAAAAATGTCTTTCTATTTTTGCAGTCTGCTTTTGCATTTTTCTTCAGCAGCGAAACCAGGCCGAACTCGAACCACCCTACGTTAGTTTTGTCAAGCAGTCGACTCCTGTCCTTTGCTCCAACCAACCCTTTCTGATATGGATCGGCCTACTCACGACTTTGGATGTCCAGCCTTTGAGCATTCATCCATCTTTTTTTCTGCGAAAACGAAGAGGATCAAATGTGCCCTGGCGGGGGCATCACGAGTTCAAGGTGCCCTCTTTGAATTCAAATTTCTGGTTGGTGCACACCCCACTCACAGAATCTCACAGATGTGATTCACGGAACGTCGCGCCCAAAGTCAGCTGTAGCGACGAAGAAATTGGTTGAATGATTAGGAGATACTATGAGATACTGTATTAGGAGGGTATATAGTTATATAATGGTATATATTAGGAGGGTATATAATGGTATATAGCTGAAAAGTGGCATGTTCCAACTCACGGAGTTTTTCCCTCGTGTGTTAACAGCTGACAGTTTGAGGGCAACCAGCCAACCTTCGCGTGAACCGGACTATTCGTGTACAAGTCGTGAGATGCTTGGATATACTCAATGCGTTGGAATTGTCAGTTGTACAGTACGGGCTTCAACATGCAGGACTTTGAAATTGGATCAAGCAATCTCACAAAAATGATTGTCAAAGACGTCCTTTGCATTGGACTGCCCCATGCTAGCAGCTGCTAGCATGTGGTTGGAGGACACTTCCATTGTTCCTTGACAACAACTTTCAACAAACTAATCACCCATTGTAATCCCTCATATATGTTCATATCAAAAAGCATCCAGCTCCTTGACCTCCTCTCAACCACCAAATAGCATGCTTTCATAAGATTGAACTCTTGGTGAAACACAACACTAAGACTACGCCAACTATGCTGCACATGAGAAAAAACGGTCGTAAAGCTGGGTTGCGGATCTGGCGCATCCGTTTGCCAAACTTCCTAGCATTGGCCTTGTAGCCTTTCACTGTAGCCGCGCAAAGCTTCAAAGGATCTTCGGCGCCCAGCCTCTTAGTGTCGTGCCATATTGTACTTCATGCTTTGGACGTCCTTCAGGTTCAGAAAGGCGTAGCCCAAAGACTTGTGGTGCCCGGTGAAGTTTCCCGGCATGTGGAAGAAGTCGTACTTCCCGCCAAAGCCCGTGTTGTCTATCTCATCCATGACCTGTGGTTGCTGGAGGCTTGTTGGGAGATTCTTGATCATCAACGTGGTCACTCCATCCCTGGCCAGTTCCTCCGCCCAATCACGGCTACTTGGATCGGCTGCCTCGCGCATGCACGCCAAATTCATCATGTTCGATTTGTGCTTGAGCCGCCTGACTACGGCCATGTGCAACTCCTGGATGATCTTCTCTGGTAGCGGAGGTAACGGCTCCTCAAGAAGCACTATGCTCATGTCACCTTCTTCTGGCACCCACAGGCACATGGTGTCGGAGAACATGTGGCAAAGATTGAGCAAAGTTTTGCTTGCAGGTTCTTCAACTCCTTCACGTCGCAAACACTCTGTGATGTTGCCGAGGGTTGGCGGCATTTGACTGTGGACCAACTTCTTGATGGTCTCCCTCACCTCGGGCTTGCTGAAGGACTCTGACAAAACGCAAAACAAACTCCCCGAAAGAGGATTCGTACAATACTCGTTATATAAAAGGAACATAAATCTCCCCCAAAGATATAAAATAACATATGCAAAACATTGCAAGGTCACGACGTGGGGCCGCAAGACTGCCAAGTGCGCAGCAGTAACTCCCGGTGGCAAAGGCTTCATCTTGAGCAAGGCAGCGATGCACTGCCCGCGCTGAAGCTCTGGCCCAATGGGTGACTGGCAACCTGATGGGTTGCAAACCACATGCTCCAGCTGGAGTGAAGGCTTTGGAAGGGCCTCCTGTGGAGCTGGGACAGGTTGTGCACATTGTTGTGCACCTGGAGCTGGATTCTCTTCACTCGAGGTCAAGCTTTCAAACAGCTTCAACACTCTGGGGCGAAGATTCTCAAGCTGAGGCATCGACTCCATGGAGTCGGTTCCTGCTTTTCCCGATGCATCTCGGATGGCATGTTACTGGGATCATGGCCCAGCTGCTGGAGCCTTGTTGCAAATTGGCAAATGAGAGACAAGAGTTGCGGGTCGCGGTGGAGATTCTCCATGAGCTTTGCATCCCCTGTCCTCGGCACTTCTGTCTTTGGCACCTCCCTGGCTGGCGCCCTGGTGGGCCCAGTCTCCCAGGTTTCCGAATCCTCAACCTCAACATCATCCTCAGATTAAGGTCTACGTCATTGCCCTGAAGAAACATGGCCACCGCGTTGGTCACCTCACGCTCCAAGTCGCCCTCCACTTCCTCGGCCGACGTTTCCTTCGACTCATTGGGCGCCGGAGCCTCGTCGAAACGGTCCGGCTGATCCGGAGAGTGGTGCGCAGTCCGGCTGTCCGCATGGTACCGATGGGTGCTTTCATCCTGCTTGTGACATTCTGTGAAGCTGGCACCTAGCTCCGACATCCGCATCTGGCTTGCCACGCACATCGTAGGTTGAGGCTCTTGATGAGCAGCACCGCCTTGACAAGGTTGTTGCTGCTGTACCAAGCAGGCTCCTGCGATTCCGTCGAAGGTCTGGCTGCAACTGACGATAGGGAAGGAGCATGTCGTGATTCGGTCCTTTTCGACCAGAAAGATTCAATGTGAAACCAAAGTATTCGGCTTGAGCCAATTGATCATGACAAAGATCTGTAGCATCTGAACATTGGGAGGTCACTGTTCTTGCAGTACGTAGCTATCACACTTGACTTGACAAACAACGAGTTGACCACGCCAAGAATGCAACTGACTTTCCAAGTTTCTTCTCAAAACATTGCACTGGACCCCTAACTGCCTCGCTGGATGAAATATGTGCTGGACAAAAAGTTGCATCCAAAGAGTACTGTAGCGCGTGAACGCCGGAAATCGTTACTTTTTGATGTATTTTCTGTCATGCTTGGATTGTGTTCCAGGGTGGCCCTCACCTCGAAATAACTTCCAAATTTGCTTTGCTAGCATGTGTGCACCACACACCTAAAAGGAAAATGTGACTTGTTACACATTGAAATACAATGAAATACATTGAAAAAGGGACCCTCCTGGCACATCCAGAGCCTCCGGCATCCTTCATACCATCCTTTCTTCCGGATCCGAATGGCCAAAAGGTCCGTATTGGGTTTGAACCGTTCGACCGTGTCGCTGGAGCCCAGGTGCAGCACAGCTGTGTCCCCTGCGTCCACCACGTCGGGCGCAATGCCGTCGAGGACCTGGAGCAAAGGGGGGGTGGAGGCCATGGAAACCCCACCATTTAGTTCTTGTCCATTCTGTAAATGCCATGAAACAAACATTAAACCATCATAAACCATCAATAACCCAAAGGATCCGAGAAGTCCCAGCCACGAAGTTGCGACATGAGGTTGGCACCGCCATGGCACCACCATTGGTTGAATGTGGTTCCTGTCGGTCCGTCTGGAGAACCCCGCATCCGGGTCCCAGCACACATTCTCCCACATCGCCCCAACCCGCCCCCACCTTATCAGTAACACTCTTCCACCGACCCTGGGGCCATCCACCGACCCTGGGGTCGATTCTTTCGTGAAGATCCACGCATCCAAGGAGCGAAGCATGCCATGGAGGTGGCCACACGGATGGTTGGCACCTCCCCATCAAAGCCATCGAGCTGTGCCTGCACCGGTGCCACTGTGCGTTCCGCAGGGTCTTTCGGAAGAGATCTGCATGTGATTGGTACAAAACAGAACCCCAAGGGCTACAAAGCTGGAGGTGACCCACTTCGCCGGGCACTCATCCACTCACAGGCATATACATTGTATATGTGTGTTTATGAGCACTATTTATTTCGTTCGCATTCGACTTACCTATACATACACATATAACATATAATATATATATATATATGTTACCCGCATGTACACTAATGTAGTAATGTTAACAAACAATGATCGGAAAATACCAGAACATCACCCTCAGACCTCTCAGTAAACATCATCAATCCTTCGTCTGGGCCTATCATCTGGAGCCGCCAAGTTGCCACGTGGTGGTTGAAGCGCCGCGCGTAGTCGGCGACGGCACTGATCTCATGGACTGCAGCCTTCACCTCAAAAGGAGGACACCCGAAATGTGCGGGGGGGAGGCCGCTCGGAAAATGAGAAAACAAGGGCACATGCTGCAAATCAGATGAGGTTTTGCCCCAAAGCATCGGTCATGCTCACGATGAGGGATGTGGGCCAATCTGGTCCACTGGCTGCCTCTCAACTAGCACACAATGATTGAGTGGACATCTTCGTCCCCCCAAAACCCAGCAGCTCATAGCAGCTCCCAAATTGATCGTTCTCAAACGGATGGTCAACATTCCCACCAGGTGCGCACTCGATTCGAAGCACCGGAGCATGATCAACACCCGAACTGCGCCCTGTGGAGCCCGGAGCGCCCGCCGTTCGCCTGTTCCAGCTCGCGGTCCTTCCGCAAATGGGCCACCTGGGAGGACCGTGTGGAGCGCAGGTCGCTGCATAAGCCGTGGTCGGCGGATCCCGACAAAGGAGGAGTGCTGCAAGAAAGAGTTTCAGATGGCAAAACACATCCTGACCAAGCACCTGCAGGCATTAAAGGGGATCAGGATAGAATCACAAGCTTCTTCTCATGGTTGTCATTGGGTCCTTTGGGGCAATATTGAAGGCAATATATTATATATATATATACTGTAAATATCAGGTGGCGACACGCTTTTTCAAGAGAACATGCCACATGCCAAAACCAATCAAAGATTCATCACCTTAACTTCAGTCTTCAGTCTTCAGCGGCAGAACCGACGCTTCAGTCTTCAGTTGGTGGTCGCTGGCCACCTTCAGGCCACCAAGGTGCGGACGCTGGCGCTATTCGTCACGTTTTGCACGACCGTACGCGTAGGGTGGTGGAATCCGTGCGTCAGGTCGGGTCCATTGGGGACGACGATTCATTGGGAAGGCAAAAGCATTTCGAACGACGGAACTCGGATTCAACGAAATGACTATGGGTGCAACCACCGGTGGTAGGCTGATTCTGGCTGAAACTAGACTAATTACGCACTCGTGCGGGTGGTGAGGAAGCTACGACTGCCTTCAATCTCTGGCTGAGAGAAGCGCCCTGCAGCTTCAACCTGTAACTTGCCCTCTAAGTGTTGGAAGCGCTTTGTCTGGACAAAAGCGTTGTAGAACATTAGAACGAAGCCAAAGCACAAAGCCCTCTGTCAAACAGCGACAATAGCCTTCCCGACCACCAACACTACTTCGTCAGCAGCTTCCTAAAGGCCTGTCCATGCACAGGCCCAAATCACGGTGGGCATGGCATGGCCCAACACAAGTCATATCTCTTCAAGGTGGGCAGTTTTCTGAACCACAAGGACAGCGAGCCTCACATATTCCTGTTTGCTCGATGGTCCCATCACGTGCTGATTGAAGAATCACAAGGGCAAACACGCAGTTGGCAAGATCTTGAGGAATCATGTAACCTGCCTTCAATATTTGCGCCCCATCACAGCAAATGCCCACAAGCAATTGGACAAGTGCTGAGGAACCATCTCAAAAATCTTGCCTCGGATCTTGGCAAAGAGAGTTGGCATGATCTTCCGGACGCTGGGCGCCAAATTTTTTAAAGTGCGATGATGCCCAAAGGCAGTTGGACAAGTCTTGGGGCTTCATAACACCAACTTTGCCTGAAATTTGAGCAGCAAGCGCTGGAACAATTTTCAGCAAATAAGTGTTGCATTCTTCAACTGTACCGATGTGGTTAACCCCTTCATGGTGGCGCTTGCGCCGGAAGAACTTTGATGTCACTAAGGGCACAACATCGAGCAGCACTACTATGTCCAGAAGAATGTTGGGCGCAGCTTGTACGTCAACGTAGTTAACTTGCTTTCACTTGAGCATGTTCACAGCTCGGGCATGCAACTTCAGCAACGCTGGGCTTCCTGCACAATCAACTTAAAGCAACCCATCCCTTCGCAACTTGGCCAGGCCATGATATGCTGCCGACACTGCTGCCGACAAATGAACATGGATGGAGATAGATGGAGCAATCAGCCTCAGCCGCGTTCTGCAGAATGCGCACTCACTAACTGTTCAGCCGTCTTTGCCTCCTTGATCCTGGTATTCAAATTCCGAGTGCCCTTGCTTTTTCCAAAGGAGGAGGGTGCCCGCAACTTGTCACTACCAAAAGTGCCTCACCTTGGTCCAAAACAAGGTGCCCTGTCCCTGTCGTGCCGGCCCGTCATGGTGGTTTGGTCTCACGTTCGGTTCCGCCCGTCGGACGTCTGGATCTCTGCGTTCTTCCGACCGTGTGCCGGGTCGGATGCATTCAGGTGACAAGGCCACGAACAAGGTACGCCCAGCGGAACAAAAGATACACGAAAGGGCCATTGTGAGGCAGCGATTGTTTTTCGCACGAAGGCTAAGCATTAAATGACTCTAGGTTCTCATGTGTAACAAGCTGAGAGGAATTCATACTGTTGCTGCCTAGGATGTCTCACCCTCTGACCCATCCTTCAATGCAGTTCCGTGGATTGATTAGTGCAGTTCGCCCTTTCCCCCAAACCCTCTCGCCTGCAGCAATCCTCGAAGGCTGCGCACGCCACCCTTCCCATCCGAGCCATAAGCCTCCACAGACCAGTGCCGCATCGGCCTGGCGCCGGGATCGCCAGGGTGGACAGGGGGATCCGGACCTCCATGGTGGCAGCTGACGCCCAGGCGCACGCGGGATGGACTGGGTGGATGGTCTGGGGACCGGCCTTGTGAATGGCAACTCGAACGGAGGGAGCTGGTGAGTCTGGTGGATATGGCCCACGCCGGGGCTTCTATGCGCGGCACCCAAGGCAGGGACTCAAGAAAAGGTGGTCAAATAATAGTAACTCATGTGGTGATTCCACCTTTGCCAATGAAGAGTCGAAGAGTAATTGGCACCTGGACTCGTACAAACTGCATGGGGATGCTGGCTCAATTGCAATTTACTTCAAGGTTGATGCGTCTAAGATCATTGATGGAACAAGGGTTTATGATATATGCAATTACATAGCTATACAGCTGGCCTAAATTGAAGGATTTGGTGACATGGTGGTTGATGAACCTGTATTCGTGTTCTTGCGAAAGGACCCACTCCGCTCATCGCATGTCAAATGCTTCCAATGCGATGTTGGAAAGAAGGTCGACATGTCGACTCGAACAGATCTTAATCTTGCCTTAGTAGTTATGAAGATTTTAACCGTTTTTTATAACCCCCAAAGCAAACGTAGCACATTCATGTTATGAATATGTTCCACATTGGCTGTGGATATCTCCACCACTAAGCTTACATAATACCACCCGCAAAAGCTGATACCTTGTGCTGCAGTCAGCCTATAACTAAATCAATCATTGATGTGTGTACCGGGTGCGCTTGAGACAGTCAGCGTTTTCTCACTCGCCAGCTTCGAACAGTGAGAGCTTCTGCCCACGAATGGAAACATCTTGCCCAACGACATA